TTTTTTTCAAACCAAAGTTTGGGCTTAATGATTTTTTTTTCCACGTTTTATCTTGTTCAATTATTTAATTATTTTTTTATAAGGATTCTTTTATTATTTTTAATATTTCTTAGTCTATTAAAGATTTTTTTTTTGGTCGAGCTAATACAATATGCATAAGATTTCACCTTATGGTTTTAAAAAAAGTCTTTCATCTTAGTTATTTTCAAGAAGAATAAATGAAAAGATGATTATTTTATGAAATTTTTTATTATGACAACAAATATATTAATGATGATGAAGCAAATCACAAAAGAATTAATAGAACAAATTAAAGTTAATTCACATTTTTAAAAAAGTCATTTTTAAATACTAATATAGTAAATTTGATTTTGGCTTGGACCGTTTTAGTTCTTGATTTTTGCCATTTCTAATTTCTTTTGGGAGAGAGAATATTTCCGAGAGAGTAGGTAAGCTTTACAGATCAAATTGTCAATTAAAATAGTAGTGCAGCAGCCCTTGTTTACCAATTCAAACCACAACTTTTCATGGAGAACTTAAAGAATTCAAATATAAATAAAAATTACACCAAAAAAAAAATTGAATATAGGTACAACACAATTATTAAGTATAGATTTAATTTGTATACGAAAGTGAAGCTGATGGAGAAGAATTAGAAGCGGAAGATGAGATGAACTGTGATGAATTGGTGTAGTAACCATTACTTACTCTGTTTGACCTCTTTCTGAAGTTATAACATCACCAGAAGAGATTGAAAATGATACTGGATGAGAAAAGTAGTTGGCTACTGGCATCTTTGATGGAAGAATAGGCGGCGCAACTTCTAAGCTAAGCACTCGAATTATTTGTTGTGTCGAAGGCCTGATCTTGTAATCTGGATGAGCACTCCACAACCCAACAATCAACAAGCACTCTGTGACACATTCAGGAGCCATGTAGCCCATGGTTCCAGCCAGAACAGTGGTTTGTGATTGTCTCCCGTGGTCAACAAGTCGAGCCAACCCGAAATCTCCCAGTTTAGCGTTGAAATTCGAATCCAACATAATGTTGCTGGATTTGATATCTCTGTGCAACACACATTGTTCCCATTCTTGATGTAGATAGAACAATCCGGACGCCAAGCCTTGAGCAATTCTGTACCTTGCCTCCCAACCTAACAAGCTTTTTCCTTTGAACAAATGGGAATCTAAGCTTCCATTGGACATGAACTCGTAAACAAGTAGGAGTTCTCTCTTTTCGTGGCACCAACCAATGAGTTGCACCAAATTTCGATGCCTAAGTCGACTGATGATCCTTACTTCTGCTGCGTACTCCTTCAGCCCCTGTCTAGACCCACTTGATACCCTCTTAACAGCAACATATGAGTTCAAATCTTTTACGAAGCCTCTGTAAACCCCACCAAATCCTCCCTCTCCAAGCTTCTCTCCCTCGTCAAAATCGTTTGTCGATTGAGCCAATATCTTGTACGAAAACTTCTTTGGGCCTGTCCCCTTTTTGAATTCGTCATCAATTGGATCGTTGATCATAGGATCTTCATCATTGTCGCTACTTTCCCCTGTTCCCCCCATCTTCCAAAAAATGAACCAAACCAAATAAAACCCACCAACCAAAAGAACACACCCACCAACAACCAGCCCAACCACAAGTCCAATGTTGATGCCATTTCCTGACCCTGGTTCAACAATGGGGGTCGGCGCAGGAGCTACTGGTGTGTTGTTCTTTGCATTCTCATCAATCAGCAATGTCGAATTGAAACTCCATGAGTTGATCTTGTGCAGAGCAATCTCAACACCTGTTGCAGCAGAGAACCCAACAATCACCCAACCCTGCAAAATCTCATTCAGATCAACCTTGTAATCAAGATACCTCTCAACCCAAACATCATTTTTATAAGTAGTGAAGGTAACGCTAAGATTTTTCGATCCAGAATCGTAACGAATCCAAGCACTATTGTTTCCTCCCTTTGTAATATTACCATTCCACGCCCTGAAAACTTTAGACTTGATAGAGTTGACATCAATACCAACATGATCGCCCTCGGGATCTTTGACAGAATCCATTAGATTCTTGAAGATGTCAAACTCCACTGCCACAAACGGGTACAGATTCGTGGACTTGTTTTTGTCCAGGTTTGTGACGGGGAGGCCAAGAGCAGCGCCTGTGCCTATTGTTCTGTTGAGTGCAGACCCGTTTGGCGCCAAAAAGAAGGCGAGCCCGTCTGCATACATTGTTTTGTTTTGGCAGTCGATGGCGAATGTGAAAGTTGTGGTGAAGTCCTCGAGTTTTCCCGTGGCGTTGTCGCGGAGGAGGAAGGGTTGGCTGTAGGTGGCTCGGCCGACGCTTCCTTTTTTATTCTCGTCAGCAGCGCTTTTGGTGAGTCGGAGGAATTCCCCGTCGACGAAAGCATCTCCCTCGAGAGATAGGGTGTTGATGCCAGTTGGGAAGGTGGAGAAATTGAAGTTTAATGAAGTTCCACAAGGAGCTAATAGAAACAAGAGAAGAAGAATGACAACCATTTCTAATTTGCTGGTAAGGTTGTATCAAATTGTTGCGTCTAAAATAGAACAGAGAGTGTATAGAGAGTTTAATATTTGAAAGTGCTTTAATCAGCAGTTGGTTTCTTACCAATTCAAATCAAAATAATTTTCCTTGGACATAAATAAGGAATTGAAGATTCAAGCGAGTGGTGGTAGTGATGGCATGGGATGGGAGTGGATACCACGGTGACGGTGACTGTGAATTTCTTGTATCCATATATTCTTTGCGTGGTTGACGGGGTGAAGTTGATGAATAGACGGGTCATGTAGGACAACAAAGGTTAATTCCACACTTGGGATGGAAGGAGGACTACAACAAAGTGGGAGCGCCGCCTGGGGAAGAAACTGGTTTGGATAAGGTTTCTTCTACAATACTCTGGTGTATCGATACATCAAGTTTCTAGGGACATAAATGTCATTTCAATTTATTTTTAAAATTAAGTAAAACAAAATGAAAAAACTGGAGTAGAAGGTATCCGGTTCTCTTCTCTTCTTCTTCGCCCTGTGTCCCATCTCCTTCAACTCCCACAGCAACTCATCAAAACCCACAAAAATCATAATTTCTTTTAAAATGATCATCATCATTCTGAGACTAAACCATCATACTCCAACAATTCACATTATATTACAATTACATTCAAACATAATCAAGTAACTGACTCGGTATCAGTGAAGGGTACACCCAAATGGCTTGGGTGTCGTCGATCTGTGAGCTACAGAAAGAGAGAGGAGGGTTGCCATTGGGTGGAGATGTATGAATTGAGTGGGTTGCTGTGTGAGGGAGGGGGGTGGCTACGGGACCGATGGGGGCACTTTTTTTACGGCACATCCACACCTCTAAGGTGATCAAGACCAGCTCTTCCATAGGGATTTTCCAATTTTCAGAGCACCTTTTGCCCCAAGGAATTCGCCACTGGTCATGGGCTGCAGCCGGCGTTGGGTGGGTTAGGACTTTTGGTGGCTGCTGTGAGTTCTTTGTTTTTTCTTCATTTTATTATTTTTATTTTTGTAGGGGAACAACTACAATTTTATTTGTTAAAGAGAAATAAAGTCTTAGTTTCATATAATCATCCCAATATTATTTGGAACAAATAAAATCTAAATAGATTCTATATTTATTAACCAGATGATTTCTGAATTGTCGATTTAAATTATGTTTTAAAATTGGAAAAATTGCATAATGTAAGATTTGGGCAGTGCACGTATAGTCATGCAATTGCACATCTGATGCTGTGTGTGCGAGGGAGAGAGAGAAAGAGAGGGAGAGAGAGAGTGGGTTGGGGCTGGGGGTGGATGGGAGGGGATGTGTGGTCGGGAGTGCTGCGAGAGAGTTGGGTCAAAATTGGATGGGGAAGAGAGAGAGAGAGAGAGAGAGATCAGAGGGGGGAGTGGGATGGGATGCGGAAGGAAGGGGATGGAAAGGAGGGGGAGGGAGAGTTGCAGGCTTTTTTTCTTTTTTTATTTATTATTTGTTACTTTTAAAATTTCAAAATTCTAATTTTTTGTAAGGTGTAAATTTTTTTTAAAAAAGTTTTAAATCTACGTCCTCAATCTTTTTTTCTTTTTTTTCCAAACCAAACTTTGGGCTTAATGTTTTTTTTTTTTCCATGTTTTATCTTGTTCTATTATTTAATTATTTTTATAAGGATTCTTTTATTCTTTTTATATTTCTTAGTCTATTAAAGAATTTTTTTTTTGTCAAGCTAATACAATATGCATAAGATTTCACTTTATGGTCCAACAAAAAAAAGATTTCACTTTATGGTTTTTTTGTTTGTTTTTGTAAGTGCTTTAATCAGCAGTTTGCTTACCAATTCAAAATTAAAGAAAGATCATGGTCTAAATTTTCTTGTTTCTCACACGTTTTGTGGGAACGAAAAAGTTAGATTTCAGATTTCATAGTTTTTTTTTCCAGCCAATTCATAGTCGTTGACCCGATTCAGAAGTTAGAAAGATCATGATGTACCTTTGTTTACAGTTACAAAATACAAAGGAGAGAAGCTTCCAATCCAACTTGAATTTCTGGATTAAGAAAAAAAAACAAGCACATCTCCAATCATACGTCAGTATCATCTACAACACATGAGGACAATATTGCACCAAAACAAACAGAAAGACTCCAAGGTACTGACTAGTATTGTATTCCCTTCCCGCGCAAGAAAGTTCTGGTATTGATGGCGTGGGATGGGAGTGGAGACCACGGTGACGGCGACTACGTGAATTTCTTGTACCTATATAGTCTTTGCTCAAATATTTCTTTTGCATGGCTGACGGGGTGAAGTTGATGAATAGACGGGTCATGTAGGACTACAACAAAGGTTAATTCCACACTTGGGATGGAAGGAGGGCTACAACATAGAAGAAACTGGTTTGGATATTGCTGCAGAATTATTTGGAAAGTTTTGGGTTTTTTCTGTTGCTCTTTCCTTGATATGCATGTTTGACCTCTTTTCAGTGTGGCTGGTCGGAGCTTGTAAATAATGAATTGATTAGATTGAAACAAAACGCTCTATGAATAGGTCTGATTTAATAACTCTGATGTAGATCATTTTTTTAATTGTAATATTTGCATTATGCAATAGATAATTTTATTGTTTATAACAAATTAGTTTTTTATGAGTATTCCAGGTCTTCTTTTCTTGGTCAATCTGGTCTTTTTGTTGGCTAAGTTATTTTATTTCTCTATATTGCAATGATGAGTCGCCTACATATTTTAATTTATTTATTTTTCATTTTTCGTTCATGTAGTTTTAATTTAGTCAATTGTGCTCCTGTAGTTTTATAATTGTAGCAATTCAAGGACAAGTTACAAATTCCGTCAATTTCTTTCACGGCCTCAGGGGTATTTCTATCCATTTTTAGTTTAAAAAAAATTAGAAACTTAAATTTAAATATTTTTTTAATTGCAAACAAGAAACAAGCAATTGATTTGTCATTGAAATGAAATTCCAAAGTGACCAAAGTAGCAAATAATAATAAAAGCATTCCCAATCTAGCTCTAAAAAAATTAATCAATAAACCCTAACATCAAAATCAATAGTTGACAGAAATACCCCTAATCCCATTAAAGAATTTGACTGAATTCTTAACTTGTCCTTGAATTGCTCCAATTATGAAACTACAAGGACATAATTAACCAAATTAAAACTACATGGACGAAAAATAAAAAGAGATAAATTACAGGGACTAAAAATGACTTTTAGCTATATTGTATTTGAGTTTTCTTACTCATTTGCACATGAATCATGACGAGTGAGGCAAATATTCTAGCAAGCCCAAGCTGCAGCCACCCTGCTCGCCTTGAGCTTGGGCCAGCCCTCTTTAGAGTCTCACCTATGGACAGCACACCATTAACTTTCAACTTCTAAAGCCTACTCTAGTTTTACTTGATTTTCTTCTTTTTTGAGATACGAAACATCCTTACAAATTAGCTCATGCATTTGTGTTATTTTAGAGAGTTTATCATTAAAAAGTAATTTAACATTAATAAAATCAAAATACAAGCAAGTAGCAGCAAGAAAAACACAAAGTAACAATTACGAACCAGAGAATTGGGAGGCATGAAGTTCACCGACTCACCAGTGATAGAGCTCCCGGTTCGAACCGTCGTCCTTTCCCTCCAACAGGACAACGGCTCGCTCCACGTCGGCACCTCCGTCTGGCCCTGTTCCCTGGTCCTCGTCAAATTCGCCGAGCGCTGGGCCCCACCCAGCCCCGATGCCCAAAACCCCTACGCCAACCTCCTCGACTTCCACGGCAAGCGAGTCGTGGAGCTCGGCGCCGGCTGCGGAGCCGCTGGCATGGGTCTCTATCTGGTCGGCTTGACCGACATCGTCCTCACCGATATTCCCGCGGTCATGCCCGCACTGAAGCACAACCTCAAGCGCAACAAGCCCGTCCTGGGGAAGACGCTCAAGCACGCCATCGTGCACTGGAACAAGGCGAC